ATATGGATAATTAATTCTGGTAAGTACCTAGCCAAGTAGGTAATTAACATTCGTAATTTATCTATAATATAGGTAAATAAAATCTGCAATAATATGGAAAAACATTTTTTAATTTAGGAAATATTAAACTAGAATCTCTAAGTCCCAAAAAGTTAAAAAAGAAGTTTGTATGTTCATCTCATTTCGAAAAAAATGCCTATTCTAATCCCACAGACCCAAAATCACGACTAAACCGTAATGCAGTACCAAACAAATATATAAGTAAGAAAAAATCATATTTTTGTGTATTTTATTTTTGACACATGCAAATAATATAAATTAAAAAATGTTAGATGAGTTAATAGACGATAATGTTCACGAAACAAATACGACTGTCCATCATCGAGTTCAATAGCTACACCTACAACTAAATCTTGGGTCTCAGCACTAATCGATTTTCCCAGTCCTATGCCAAAAATGAGACAAATAAAAAGCCCCAAAAAAAGCGCACTTCAACAAGAGTTAATTAGGATTCGAAAACTTTTAAAAAGAAAACGTTCTATTATTTCGGCATTAAAACAGAAAAAAACAAACAAAAAGCAGAAATCAAATGTGAATGATTTATTTAAAACATTTAATTTTCCGTCTAAAAACTCAAGAAGTTTAGTATCAATGCAATTGTTACACAAGAATCGTAAACCTTGGTCAGCTAATGAAAAAAAAGTTGCACTATCTTTATATTATAAGTCACCTTCGACTTATAAATACATGCGAAGGACTGGAATTGTATTGCCGGCTATAAGTACAGTGACACGTTGGCTACGGTCGATTAACTATTCCACTGGATTTTCGGCCAAATATTTAGAACAAATAAGGTTAAAAGTTTTAAATATGGATTATAATGAAAAGAAATGTGTTATTCTATTAGATGAAGTTTCTATAATGAAAACTTTAGAATATAACAAGATTTTGGATGAAATAGAAGGGTTTGAGGATTTAGGTGATATGGGACGTACTGAAAAACTTGGTTCCCACGCGTTAGTAATTATGGTTCGTGGTCTTTACAAAAATTGGAAATTGCCTTTATCATATTTTTTTACTGGCAGTGGAGTTAAAGGTGATACTTTAGTCGAAATTGTTAAAAATTGCGTCAAAAAAATTGTGGATATTGGTTTATTGCCAACTTGCATTGTATGTGACCAAGGGACACAAAATCGTCGGATGTTTTCGTTGCTAGGTGCATCTCAAAATAATCCTTCAACTGAAATATGTGGCAAAAAATTATTTCTTATTTACGATATGCCACATCTTATCAAGAGTTTAAGAAATAATCTACTATCTGGTGATTTTAAAATTGGTAATAAAGTTGTGTCTATAAATGATATTAAAAAAACGTATGAAATTGACAGCCAAAGTAAAACAGCAAGAGCTATGACCAAAATAACACCAACTCATCTATCTCCTAACCCTTTTCAAAAAATGTCCTGCAAGTTAGCAATCCAACTCTTGAGTAATTCTGTATCTGCAGCTATAAAAACATGTGTGGCTACTGGGCAACTAAAATCGAATACAGCACTACATACTTCAGAATTTATTAATGTCATAAATAATATGTTTGATTCGGCAAACAGCAAAAATTTATATGACCGAAATCCAAACAGAAGACCTTTAAGTCCTAAAAATTCAATAGTGTTCGAGAACTTGAAAAAAGCACAAGCTTTATTTAAAGAAGCGGTAAAAGTATGCCATAAGACAAAAAAAATCAGTACGCCCCCTTGTTTTATTGGAATAATTTGGACGACAACTGCTATTTTAGAATTATACGAACAAGAAAAAGTAGACATGCAAATCTATCGGCCAAATAAAGACAATTTTTTAATGACAAATCGACTAACGCAAGATATATTAGAAAATCTATTTTCAGTGATACGACAAAAAAATGGCTACAACAGAAACCCCACAGCCCGCACGTTTCGCTGTTGTTTTGGGCATATATGTACATATAGTTTGATGAAATGTTTGACAACATGTTGTAATAATTGTGAATCGGATGACGATGAATTTATAACTGTTGAAGTTTTGAAGGATGTTCCTGTAGAAAACTTAATTTTATCAGAAAACGGTGAATTGTCAAATGAAAATTATGTTCACGAAACAACCGATTCTGACAATAGTTCAAAGTCAAATGAAGGTATTTATGAGGTTGACTTATCACTGGAGACGTGTTCAATAACTTATTTTTCTGGTTATTTAGCAAAAAAATGTTTTGATAAATTTAATTGTGCCAACTGTAATTTAATCAAACCAAATGAACACTTAGCTGACAAAAAAGAACTTTTAATTATACACAAGGTGTTCGATCATGTGCAACAATCACAAGGCTTAAAAGCTCCATCTGATGAGCTAACACAAATAGTGACAATATGTTTAAATATATTTAAAAATACATTTCCTAAAATTAAGAGCTCAAAGCAAATTTTAAAACAACTTTTGCATAAAGCCGAAAGACAAATAAATAATCATTTTTTGGTTTTACAAAATTCGTGTAAAGATCACTATGAATTTATTTTACAGCTGCTGTTTAGGACACGCATTTATAAGGAATGTAAGTGGATTAATGCAAACCTTGGAAAGCGAGGTTATCAAAATGCCGCCAAATTGCGAATATTTGAAAATAAATAAATAAATAGGTAAATTATAATTTTGTAATTAATGTTTTGTTATGTATGCAGTGTACAAAATAAGTAATTTATTATAATATTGTTACATAAACAGATTTGAAATAATAGGTAAATAAAGTTGAAGATAAACTCAATTGTTTTGTTAATTTACAATTCTTTTTGTATTTTTATTATGAAAAAAATATAATATTTTGCTCGAATTTTATTAGAAGTTAAATTTTAATAAAACAATAAATTGTAAAATACGCTTAGTCACTGGTCACAGGCGTAAGTACGGTGTCACAGTGGTAATATAAGTCAATAACAGTAAAAAAAATTATTTATTTTGCAGGGTAATGATGTATTTATTATTTCCAGTGTACAAATTGCATTAGTCGTAAAATCAAAAAACATTTGAATGAGTCTAATTAATTTTTTTTATTTTTTAAACACTTGATTTTTGAATATGTTGATGAAAATATTTTAGTCGTGGTTTAAGAAATCCTTCTAGTTTATGTTTATTCATTCTGTTATGACTTTTGTGTTATTAGTTTCGACGTATTTCAAAAGTATTTTAAATGTTCACAAGCGAGTAGGTAATCGAATTTCATGTAAAAGTTTTTTATATGAACAAATTTCTGGTCTGAACTCGTCGCTGAACGGTTTGTATTCTGATTCTTAGCCGCCAGAGGCGACCGACGTCCGTAAATGCAATCGCTGAACTACTGGCTACTGCGGTCTGCGACGCCGCCGCCGACGATGTTTGACGACGACGCACGACAACGGTTTTCCGCGGCAACGGTCGGCGACGATTACAGCGATTAGAAATAATTATTTTATTTTATTATAGGCCGAATACCTTAGCGCTCTCTATTGGGAGTAATTACGGCGCAGCGTATTATGTACTGCAGTGAGCTATCTATAGTATTTATAATCAATGATAATACGAAAAACGGTTCTGACTTTTGAGCGTAGACGATCTGTCATCCTAATGACAATATTAATAAGTATATTTTATGATATTACTTACTGCTGTTAAGATAATTTATTTTACTATTAGACAAACAACAATAGTACCTACCTACAATACGTTAAGTAGAATACAGTCAAATTGCATTTGAAAATGTCACTGTGTGTATACAGCAAAATAATATATACATTAATAGTTTCAAGTAGGTATACCCACAGTAATTTGTTTAAATTATAACAAAATAACTAAAAAAAATATTCGTCATTTAAATATCTAATTTTGTCAACATTTTAAGCCAGTGCTCGAATTTAGGGGGTGTGCGCAGGGGGACGGAGCTCCCCTACCATTTTTTTTGCGTATCCTACTATTTTTATTTAATTGGACGGGGGACGGTACAAACTAATGTCCGAAATAATTTTTATTAAAATGTGAATTTTAATTGATGTCAATCATATAACGAGTTTTACTATTTCATATCAAAATTTTTTTTGACTAGAGTTTAATAATTAATTATAATATCACCCTGTGTTTAGCCTATATAGTTAATAGTTCACAGATCATAGATCATATATACAAGTTGAAGTACATCATCTAAGGGCCTAAGGCACAGATACTGGTGTAGTGGTGTGTGATAGTAATATATTAAATCATGTTCTGAATTCAAAATGTATGTAAGGTATGATCGTGGGGATGGGTGTTGGAGGCGAAGCCCCCACGGGTCTGTTTTGAGTAATTTCGCCCATGGAAAGCAGTTTTTAAATCATTGAATTGAGCTCCTCTACTTAATTTTTCTCAATTCGAGCACTGATTTTAACTACACTTACGATAAAAATCGTGCATAGGTACACATCTTTAATATTTATCTTCTATTATTAAAATAACTACAAACTACGTATGAACCTTGTATTACATTTTCAAATCTTCGATATAAATAACAAATATTTTATTAATATCTAACTCATAGTAGTTTGCAAGTTTTCATGATTTTGACGAATTTTGTCCCTCTTAAAAAAATATTGTGGATTTACACTCAATTTTTTTTTTAATTTCCACAGATAACAACAACCTTTGAGTTTTATTTTAAGTTTTTTGACATAGCCCCGCTTGTATCCATTTTAGAAAACAATTCACACTAATCAATCTGTTTTTAAAACGCTGTGTGATAAGACGCCATCTATCTAGGAAAAGTTTAACGATAAAATGATTAATTTTTGAAATATTTGAAATATATATATATATTGATAATGCTGATGTTTTTTCATTTGATAATGATGACCGTAAATAGTTTTTGACTCTCTTCAAAACAGAAAAGGACCTTTCTCCACTCGCATTAGAACATGGCATACAAATAAATAATTTTAGAGCAATTTCAATATTAGGAAAAGTTGTGTTTAATGATGATTAAGGTATTTTAACATTCCTTGCATGTTTTTGGTTTCGTTGGGAAAATGTATTATGTACTTTTTAAATTGAACAATTTCTTTAATAAATTCTACTTCTAAATCATTAACATAATACTCCACAAGCTTTAGTGCTTTTTTACGTAGTTCACTTGCTTCAATATTTTCAAAATCAGAAAAAAATCCGAATTTGTCACATAGCTTTGTATATGCTTTTTTTCTTTTATTTAGTTGAAGAATCAATGCATCCATTATAGGAATAAAAATTTCATTCTTCATTTTGTCTGTATTAGAAAATATAACTTCACCACTAGGCCTCTTCATGTTATTATCAAGTCGATTATTCAATAACAATAAATTTTCCGACAAATGGTTAAAAATAGCTTGTTAATTACCCGATCAGTCATCTCCCCCCCGCCATCAATAGGTCAACAAGCCAGTGTAGGCACACACCAGTCCATAATCATAAATTACAATTTACAACACTTTTTCATAGATAAAATATTTTTTTTTTTTAAATAGATAGTAGATAATAGATATTTTAATTTTTGTGACCGTGACGAATTTGGAGTATAAACTAATGGGAAAGTTTTTTGCCGCCCTATAAAATATAGCTACTTTTGCCGCCCTGGGGCACTTGCCCTAATTGCTCCCCCCTCTTTGCACGGCTCTGCAGTAACGCGTTACTTTCGTTACATTATTACCCAACACTGATAATATGACACACAACTCTTAAATTAAATTATTGCATAGATAATACTTCTATTATCTATGAATTATTGTAATTTGTGTACCCAATTCACTTTAAACTATGTTAAGTTGCCTATCGATAAAAACACAGTTATCTAAAAATAATTATCACAACCTACAATAAATATTAATTATAAAACAATTTCACTTAACAACGATAAATTGGAATTTTCTTATACCTAGTGTTTTAAATTGTTTTAAAATGTAAACTTAATGTGTTTCATTAAAACATTATATTGGTATAGACATATAATAATTTTTATGTTAAAATCTCATTAATAAAAAAAAAAAAGTGCAACCTACCTAAAATTAGCTCTAAAGTTGAAAAATGCTGAAAAATGGGACAAAGTTACCCCGTTTTACGGTACCTACCTATTTTATAACATTATATGGGTGTTATATTATACAAATGCTGTTTTGTAATAATTATTATGCATAGGTATTAGTGTATTAGTATTACCTACTGTGTTAGGAAGCTACATATTTTATGTGAATAATTGTTTTTTTTTATCATTCATGATCATGATCATTATTAACTAAAGACGGGTTTACACGTGCATGTTTGTTGTGGCGCCATCATCTACCCGCCAGCTCGCCAGTTATGTTGGAATATTCCAAATTTTATTTTCACTTGCTTGCCAGAACATGTTTACACCTCACTGGCGCCTCAACTTGCATGGGTAAACATGCACGTGTAAACCTAGCATATAGATCCGATGAGACGACCTGTGAAATTCGAATACTGTAATCGATGTAAGACGTGTGTGTGTGTACATTGATTATTATTTTCTCTACAGGACACCAGTCTAATAAGGTACTAGGTAGGTTAGGAACTAGGAAGGTAGGCTGCTAAGACATTTGTTGACTTTGCAGTTAAAACAATTGATGAAAAGGAGCTTTCAAGCTCCACCTTCGTGATATTGAAATAATGAAATAGAAAAAAAACTGTTGAAGAAACAAAAACACAAAGTTGTTTGAATTAACTCGTGATAAAGAAGTTCACACAGAATATGTTACGTGATCAATTCCGTATATTAATGTGGTTGGCATTAGAAATTCATAAAAATGTTCTTTTTATATCTAAGATTTAAAAATTGAATAGTTAATACAAGATTCCTCATTAAGTTTTTCTACCTATAACAAACAAAAAGTTTACCGGAAAATCACATTCATTTTTTATAAGCGTTTAAAGTTGAAATTTGTAAATTAACCATGTTAAAATTTTCAAAATATTTTCTCGCCTTTTGGGCTATACCTATAATACCTTAAGAAATTTGAAATTTGAAACTTTTTTCGTTTATTTCTTTAAATATCTATAAAACTTCTTTTGTTTGATCAAAAAAGCATTTTTAGAGACAGTAACACTATTGCAAGAATAGTGCACAACAAAAGGGGGAGTTCCTAGACCAGCGGTTTCCAACCTAGGGTGTACAAAGAAGTTTTATAAGTAAAAAAAAAAGATTTTTACAAAAATATAAGTTGACCTATGTACGAGGGCATGCATAATTTCAGGGCCGGTTTTAGAGGGGCTGTGTGAGGGGGTAACACACCCCCTCACTTACGACACCTGGTTCATTTTAGTCGCCAAATTTGTTATTTTGATATAGTGGTCGGAAAATTAGCAATTATGATTTTATTATAATTTATGATTATTTCAAAATTCAAATATAATTTATTATACCTATTGGCTATTATGAACTAATATAATAGTAAATAATATTTAAGAACTCCAAATAGGTAACAAAAAATATTTATGTGATGTAAATATAAATATAATATTTCATTTCAATCATATGATTTTGCCAGTAGCATGCCATGTAAGATAAATGGTACTCAGCATAAATTATCAGATATTTTTGTTGGTCACAAAATTCCATTCATCCCATGCCAAGCGCATCTATTGAATACATTTGCTGGACAAGTGAATCTATCAAAAACCCGATGGACTGCCGCAAGGCCCGAATCAATTAAAGCTGTTTGGATATCATATGAACAAATTATTGATGCATTACAAGATATGTCAGACTTAAAATCTATGGATAAAAAAACATGTACTCTTGCATTAGGTCTCTCTAAAAAAATTCTCAGCTTTGACTTTGTAATTTGCTTATTATTTATAAAAATGTCACATATAAAACAAAAATCTTCACAGAAAACCTAGAAGCTACAGAATTAAATTAAATTATGCTTTAATAAGGGGCCTGGTCGCGACCTGTTTTTTTGCTCAAAAACATGCCTTACAGGAAAAACTCTCACGCCTTGTAGATTGGTCTGATTTCCGTAATTTTTTTTTTTGTTAAATAGAGGAAGACGTATTGCAGGGCGCATTGGACTTGGATTTTCAAAATTATTTTTCGAAATCTTATATTACAAGTTTGAATTTAATCCATTTTTACAACTTTTTAGTTTTTGTATTATTATTTATTTTTAGCAACGTAATCAAAAATCAAAGTCCAATGCACCCTGTAAAAAATATTCTTCTATCTAACAAAAAAAAAATTACGGAAATCGGACCAATCTACGAGGTGTGAGAGTTTTTCCTGTAAACTGTGTTTTGACCGATATAATACACCCTATCAACCCCCCCTAAATAGGTTTTGGGTAGTAGATTAGTGGAAAAGTCTTATAATTGAGGTGGCAACTAAAATATAAAATTTAATTTTCAAATTTTATAGAATTGCGGAAAATTTGAAAAATCGCGACCAGGCCCCTTAATGTTATTAACATAATATACTATATGACAGTTTAACCAGAATGAGTGATAATAATATGGCAGTGGATAATTTAATAGAAAGTGCAATAATTTTTGCTAAAAAAACTAATTATTAACCCAGAAGATTTTAATTGACACCATCTAAGAAGATTGAAGCCCAAAAAGATATACTCGAATGCTTGTACACAGTGGACAATCATTATAAAAGCTTTTTACAGAATGGAATTCAAAAAAGTATTCGATACATTAATAAATTTGTCTTCTGAACATTAAAAAAATTGTATGTTGATCTTAGAACCACTTGTGAATATTTTTAAGGTTCCATGGTTCAATAAATGATTTGAAGAAAGGTATGAAAATATTCCCTCCTAGATGTAGTGAATTTAATATTTGTGATTATGATGGAGTTATAACTGAATTAAATATTTTACAACATCATCACTGTATCAATAAAAACCTTTTTAAAATTAACTGAAATATTTAAAGTATCCAAAGAATTAAAACATATTTTACCTATTGACAATAAAATATATTTTATATATACAGATTGATTTTTACAGCATCGGTTAGTACTACATCAAGCGAGCACACCTTCAGTAAATTGAAGATTTTGAAGAATTGTTTACATTCTACTACGGGAGTAGGTCGCTTATTAAATTGTAACAAATATTTAACTGATGAAATTGATATTCATCTCATGGTGAAACATTGGGCTTTTCTTAAAGAAAGATGACTTAATATATTATAAAAATATCGTAATTTCATTTAAAAAAAAATATTCTTTTTAATAAACACTGTCTAATGATTTAGCAACTTGCATTAAGGGGCCTCGATACTGTCGTCAATTTTAGCTGAAAAAACCTAAAGTATTGACAAAATTAGAGTTAACGTTGTCCGATTTTGATTCTGAAAAGAAATTGAACTTGCCAGACAATTGTCTATAGATCCTACGAAGCGGCGGAAGCACATGGTAAAATCTAAATATTATATTATTGTGAACTGTAACTGAAAACTTCAAATTATCAACTTTTTCAAATCATAATTAAAATTAATATTAAAAACGGAAAATGTTTCATACGATCTACAGACATTTTCTGCTGAATTCAAATATTTTTTCAGAATCAAAATCAGACAATGTTAACTAACTTTAATTTTGTCAAAGCAAATGTATGTTTTTGTAAAATTTTTGTAGTTTAATGAAATTGTTAGTGAAATTTATATGGTTATCGTGTTATTGATATGTGCATGAGAGACAATACCCTCTTTTAATTTCACTCACACTAATAATCATTTACAACTAACACATAGATCCCGGGTGGGGGGTGACCATGACAAGATTAGCCTAAATGTAGCCCTTAAATAATGACAATAGCGAGGCCCCTTAACTTATTCAACCTAATTGCAGATATTATTAATTCATTGGATAGTAGGTATCTCAATGAATAACGATACAAATATCCTGTTTTCATGAGACGAACAAGTTAGATGTATTTATCAAATATTTACTTGAAGTATGTAAATTACGTGAGTCATTGAGTATGCTGAATAATATAAAATCACTTAATTTTCAGTTGGCAAATTGTAGTGAATACACCTCCCCTAAAAAAATGTATAGTGCCGGCCCTGTTATGTCATTGTATTATTATTAGTAACATTAAATATTCGGTTTATTTGATATTTATAACTGTACAAATTATAATGTATATTGCATTTATGGCTTAGAAGTAATTTTTTTAGGAGCCCCCCCCCCTAAAAAAAAACCCTGGATCCGGCACTGACAGTGATACTGTAATACTAAACTAGAAATAAAATATTCAAGTTACTCTCAATTCAAATTTATTTAGATTAGAAATATGGTTTTACATAAGTAGGTATTAGGTACGAACATTAATTTCTAAATTATCAATAAAACATTTTAATTGTTGCTGTAGTATATTGGAATAAGATTACACTCTTTATTTATTAACAAAAATCAATAAATCATACATTACATTAATAGAAGATGAGTACAAAATTTTTATCGAAAGTAAATATCTGTTTTGCTTTTAACTAAATGGATTTGAGGTAATACATATTTTTTACATGGGCATTTCATACCGCCAACAAAGTCAAAAGAACCAACTCTTAAATTGCAATTTGGACAAGTCAATTTACCTTTTTGCCAATCATCCTGAAATAGATAAAATAGTTTTTAGTAAACATTTATTTTTGTAAGTAGTATGACCATACAATTTATATTTATAGAATTATGTAATCTTTATTAGATGATATTAAATGTACAAATTTATGAAACAAGTCTGATTATATTGTTAAAATTTAAACTTATGTAAGTAGGTTAGATTAATATTATTTAAGTGTAAAGCTCATAGTAATTATTAAAATTTTAATTAGAAGTTAAGGAATTTACATATACAAATGTAATATGAAGTGTATCTTGGGAAGGATTTTTTTATTATAGTGTTATTGACTGAAATAGCAGGACGAGTAATAAGCAGGGAGGAGTCATATAAATTGTCTTCACAATTGAGGTAAGAGGTGAGATATAAAATTATAACAATAATTGACTGAGATTTCAGTACAAGCCTCTCTACTCGCTACAACGAAACTGATCATTAAACAGACATAAAACTAAACATAATTTAATCATTTATTTATTACTTAAATAGTAATTTGTGACAATTAATTGATTTAATGTGCTTACTTCTTCAACTGACGAATTTATCCATTCAGGTAAAGTAGTAGAAGATATGTACCAATTATTTTCCATTACGTTATCATTGCAACTGTATGTAACTCTAGCTGTATTTTGAATTTGCTTTTCATGACAATCAAGTATAGATGAACTTTCACTTGATGCTAATTCAAATCGACATTTTTGACATTTAATACTAATATTAGTCATTTTAACTAAAATACAAATAATTTATAAGAAATAAATTAAGATAAAAAATTAATCAATTACAAAATAAATAATTTCTTTAAATGTATATTGATGTACCTATTTACAAATTAAATTAACATTTTTGTTTTGGAAAATTCAAAATCTAAAAAATGTGACAATTTTATAACGAGTAAGTAGTAAAACACTGTCTAACAAGTAACAACTAACAAGTAACAACACTAACAACCAACAAATTACAAGACGCAAATGGTATTCAAATAGGTATCAATACACCTTGGTATATACCACAGATATAAAATACTAGAGGAAATTCTGGAGCGGCAAACGTTGCAAACGTTTGATAACGGAGAAATTCGGAACGTCCGGTTGCTAAACGGTTGCTGTAAACGTTTGCAAACATTGTAAACGCCCTAATCCAGCGTTTGGTCTGTTTCGTTCTAGTAACCATAACCGTGGTTGCCTTTGTTTATACTTTTGCCGATCGTTATCACTATTACTATCACGACTTATCACGATTTACTTTTTATGTCATACACCACGACCGCGGTATAACAAGATACCAAGCGCTCACGAATTTCTACCTCTTCAACGTTTCAAACGTCGGTGTTTGTTCTGCAAAACGTTTGCCGCTCCAGAATTTCCTCCTAGATAGCTGCTAACAAGGCATCGAACATTGAAGTTATCCGCCATATGCGTGTAGGTCAATGTTTACATAATTGTCTTATCAATACGACATGATAACAATCTGATGGTCAAAATACTTTAATATCTGACGATGAAAAAATTGAATAAGGATAATATTATGTGTTTTCATTAAAAACAATTGCAATAGAAGTATATATTTTTTATATTTTTTTAATATTTTATAAAAAAAATTTATTCTGTGCGAATAATATCATGTTATCATACAGTATTGATAAGATAGTTATGTAAACATTGACCCACACGCATATGGTGGCTGACTTCAACATCGATTACCCTAATTTAGACAAGTTAGCTATCTAGTATTTTATATCTGTGGTATATACATAATATTCTCGATGACCATGAATCACGATGTAGATAAAATACAATATTATCTACAACCATAGATAACACATATTTATTATCTATGGCTACAATCACATCGTGCCGTGATTACATCTTGTTGTTACCACAGTGGTAACTATAACGGCTTTATAATTGAACCTTGGTTTATTTTGTCGAAAGTTCATGGTTGGCATAATATAATGGATATCATTAAAATAATATTATAGTTCTATCAAATATTACACATTCCATTCTAATATAATTAAATTACTGTTTATAGTGAGTGTTTTATGTCTTTATCTTTAGAAAATTGAAGGTATTTTAGTAAGCTTATAGTTACAAACAATCGTTTTTATTGGAAAGTATTCATTTTGTTCGTGACTTGCAGTTTTAAATAATATTAAACCGAGTTTAGTTCCAAATCAGGGCATTGAAATCTTTGAGGATGTAAGTTAATTGTTTGCAATGCATCCTGTACGAAGACGTAAGAAACGACCCAACTATGGTGTACGTATGGTAGAAGTGAATAGAGGCAAAAATGGATTTGGATTCACTATATCTGGGCAGCAGCCATGTATACTTAGTTGTATTGTTCCTGGAAGTCCTGCCGATCAAGCTGGTCTTAGAGCAGGCGACTATTTGGTAGCCGTCAGCAACCATAATGTTAGTAAACTATTACATGATGATGTAGTACAATTAATCGGTGGATGTCAATCTGCTTTGCGATTACAAATAGCTGAGAATTATTATTCTGATAGCTCCGATGAAGAATTTAAAAATGAATTAGGAAGACAACGGCCAAAATATCCACACAAATCTAGGCCAGCCTTAACTCCTATTAATGTAAATAAAATGAGAAATGATGATGCAGATTATGGAATAGAGTTTGCTCATGTATCAAAACCTTGCAATCGAAATAATAACAATTGTTCAATATATGATAAAGAAGCAGTAACCATTTATAATTTTCAAATAGTTGTGAGGTATTTAGGTTCAATTGAAATGCCATGTATACCTGCTGGATCTCGCCTACAAGTTAGTAATTTTAAATCTGCTAATTATTTCTATTCAAGTTATTATTTATTAGTTATAATTCATAGTTTGAAAAACAATAATTTCTGATTTAAATTTTAAAATAGAATTCAAAGTATAGGTGGGTACTTCCACAAAATAATTTACATTTTTATTTGTTTAATGCAGGTACCTACCTATTATTTTTATTTTTTAAATTAAAAATGTATGTTTAAAATATGTATCTATTGTATAATTAGTAAAATTTAGCTTTTTATTATAAACATAACACTAAAAAAAAAAACTAAATCAAGCATGTGCAACTTACAGACAACACATCCTAATACTTATTATTCTAACTTACATACTTATACTATGTTCAAATTACTATCTGTATTAGATAAAGTTGTCAAGTAGTAATATAACTTATAATTCTTTTAATTTGTTTTGAATTAGGTTGTAAAAAGTTGTATTAAACGTTTGAAAGCAGAAAAACGTTCTCATGCCGCTGTATTAATGACAGGATATGGATCCAGTCTTTGTCTACAGAATAATGCAGGAGTAACTTTAGCTGTTTATCCAGGTAGTCGTGTCATGTTTTGTGCTGCCAGTTCTGATGAAAATAGCAAATACTTTGGTGTTGTCACTATATCATCTATAGATGATGAGCCATCGAACTCGTGTCATGTATTTGCTATAGACCCAGTATCACATGACGACCATTGTGCACAAGCTAATAGTTTTAAAATCACTTGTGTCAGAGATTCAACTGGTGTATGTACTCAATTCCCTCCAAACTGTGATAAAGTTGTAATTGCTATCGAAAAGTATTATAAAAATGATGCTAATCGTATTTCGGTTGTTGGAAATTCACCACATCCAAGTCATGATAGCACAACAACAACAACCAGCAATAGTGATTCAGGTATTGGATATAAGGATTATTGTGGTATGCAGACAGATAGAATATTAATGGTTGATGTACAGAATCAATGTTTACACATACAACAAGTAATTATTATTTATTTATTTAGCCTTATAAATTATCCTCATAATATTTTTATTTTTTGTAAGGTTGGTGAAATGGCTACGCATTGCGTTGATTGTTCGGATTCAATTACTCCCAAGGATAATGTAGTTGAACGTGGAGCTAGAAGTCGTTCACCATTAAGTACTAGCTCAGTTGATCTTGTATTTAGTCAATTAGGACCTGATTATACTATATTAAGCAGATCACCTGGGCCCCGTAGATCAAAAAGTGAGAGTAGTGTACAATATGAAAATAATTCATGTGAAGGAATGAGTTTAGGAAGCAGCTATCGAAGTCAAGAAATATTATTATCAGATGTCAAAACTAAATCAAATACAGAATTTGACTGTTTAAGATATCCCCTTGTTACTCAAAGTTTGGAAGACTTTAAAACTAATGATGAAGATTGTATTTTTAACGTATGGGGAAGTTTGCAAAATATTAAAGAAGGAACTGAAGATTTTATTCCTGAAACAGATGGATTTTCTGTAAGTAGATATTTTATTTAGTTATTAACAATTATTATTTATGATACTTGATAGGTGTAGGTGTAGAAGTATTTACATTTGATTAGAAAAAAAATTTGTTTTTCTGATAAGTTGTATTAATCAATATTTTCCTTGAGCTTACAATAATATATATAATTTCAGACATTAATGACCTCTATCAATTGAAGCATAACTTTTCAAATTAAATAAATACATTTATACCATTTTTGCTTATTCAATATTAAGAACATGTTTGAATATGAATTTCATAACCCAAGCTATATAAAATAATGAGGTCATTGTGGTATTCATGTGTATGTAATATACTAATATCATCATAAATTTATCACAATATTTCAGTATGACTTGTAAAAGTTATTATATAATAACAATGTTGTTACTTAAATTAGTTATTGTAATCAAATTAAAATGATAAATCATATTTTTATATATAAAAAAATATTATTATACATTTAGGTACTGCCTATAATAATTAAATATTATTTTACTTGTACCATATTCAATTTTATCTTAAAATGCTGTCATGAGCTTTTGTGTCTCATGTTGTTGATAGTTGAAAATATGAAATATAAACTAATTTATACCACAATAGTTATTACTTTCGTTAAATGATAATTTTATAGTTTATAAATACAAAATGTAATATTATGATTTATGAAGTTATTAATAACGGTTTCCCATAACATATTACATGTTCTTGAGTCGAGTTCATTTGTATTCATTATATGTAATTCTAATTACAATTTTAAATGTGATGGTAGGTAGGTTACTGTATGTAATGACGTCACTTCAATATCCGTGACATGTGTCTGTCATACATAATTGAAAATCAAAATAAAATATGAGTATATTAACTATGTGAAAATCTTATGTTTGGTGTGGCATAAAAGTATTATATTCTTAGAAGATGTTCTTCATTAAATATTTTTAGTACATTTATTTTTTATCTACAAAGGAAATGCTTCCTTTTCGTAAAATTAGTTGTATTACATTCTCCAACAGTCCTTTTGTACGTGTTCTTAGGCGAACAAATTCTTTTGAAAACAAAACCACGGTACATATTATAAAATTTGTATATTATGTTTTAACTCTAAATATATTTTTCCTGATAGTTGTTACATTTTAATTGTGGTAATTATTATTTAAATAGCACACCAATTAAATTTTATCAATTTGTAAGGATTTTCTCTAGAATTTTATCATTTTATAATGAGTCATTATAATAAATTATTAGTAATACTTTATACTTTTATAATTTTAATATTTATTTTTATCTAAAGTTATGTTATTATAATATGTACAATTCATAATATTCATAAAGTTATAATTGTACTCTAAATTATTATTAATTTATTCATCTAAACCAGTGTTTGCCAATCTTTTGTTAATCAACGCCCCTTTAGATTTTCAAAAAACTCACT